TGAAGTTACTACTGTATATGAGCCAGGCGTTGCCCCAAATAGAACTTGTGCCAGAATCTTTGTCTGAAAGAGATTGATGGCAGCAAGCCGAAAACAGTTTCTTTGCAGATGATGCAATTGCAAAATAGCTAAGATACTACGTTGTCCAAGATTGGCAATGTAAGTTACATGGGCAACTCTCCTCACATTGGCTTTAAGTACAACCACAAAGTATTTATTTAAAGGTGTTCACTAGTTCAGTTGTTGATAGTGCTCCTGTGGGCTGTTGTCTTTTAGGTAAGACTATTATCTTGAATTTTTTGGTAACTGATTATCAGTTGTTCCTCTTGGCAGTGTTGAATCAGACCAGTAATGGTTATTTAGACCCTGCTATGTCAGGGATAGAATAAAGGTATCATCTGCATATAGAAGAAGTTTGCCAATTTAGGGCCATGAATGTGTATGGTTTTTAATTGGTGGATTAAATAATTAATAGATGAGGAACAGAATTTAGGCCACTATACAGCCCAGAGAGACTTTTCTAAAGGAAAGGGGACCTACTTGATGATATCTGCCTTGTAAGGATGATCCGTCATGCAGTTTAACTACTGTATGAGCAGTGGAAGGAGTTTGTCAAGTGTTGACTTACCTTGAGCCATAATATACTCTGTGACACTGAATGAATAGCCACCTTGAAATCAATAATGTCAGTGATCAGTATTGAATCAGCCTGATCTAAAATATCTTGCTCTTCCTCTGGGATGAATCTTTGTATCAAGAAGAGGAACACTTAAAATGTGCTTGTGTTTTTAGAACTATTTTTAATTGATTTTGAACCAATTCCAGCAATAACAGTGAAGAACAAAGCAATAAATTTCATTTAATTAATTATTGAAAAGGTTATATATATTAAACAGTACAAAGGAGAAGAAAAAAGTTTAAAAAGTATTAGGGGGAAAATTAAAAAGGAAAGAAAAATAAAAACACAAAAAATTGTTAAAGGGAACAGTCAATAGTTCAAAATTAAACCTTAGTTGATTGTATTCAATAATACGATCAACTAAGGTTTAATTTTTTTTTAATCCACTAGTTTTTACAGTATCAATGTAATAACATATATACCGTATTTTTCCGACAATAAGACGCCCCCATGTACAAGATGCCCCCCAAAATACGGTATATATGTTATTACATTGATACTGTAAAATACGGTATATATGTTATTACATTGATACTGTAAAATACGGTATATATGTTATTACATTGATACTGTAAAATACGGTATATATGTTATTACATTGATACTGTAAAATACGGTATATATGTTATTACATTGATACTGTAAAAACTAGTGGATTAAAAAAAAATTAAACCTTAGTATAAGACGCCCTTCAGTTTTTAGGGTAAGGATTTTAGAAAAAAGTATCGTCTTATAGTCGGAAAAATATGGTAAATAATTGCAATATAATTTTTAAATCACAGATTAAATCTAGACCTTATAGGATTACATTATCCAAGCCAGCCTTTGGGATCTAGTGCATATATACCATTCAAAGAATATAGAATCACCTTTTTTAGTAGTCCAGGTTCAATATATCCAGAGCTCCTTATAATTATACAAATTCCAAACGTTTAGAACATAATTAACAGGACATTAATAATATTAACCTTAATTTGGTGGGAGATTGACAACAGGCTACATTTGGGGAAAGGAGGGTTGATATCTCCAACCAATTTCAGCTCTCAGTCCTCATCCCAAGAGCCGGGGTATTAGATCTGTGGATCTCCAGGATTTTGGAGTGTTATACTATTGAATGCCAGGTCTGCCAGTTATAAAGCCATTTCTTATCCATTATTTAATTGTGGATGAGAGGGCAGATCTGGGTTAGGAAAGGAGGGAGTGTTCCCCTCTCAGAAATCTGCCCACCCAGATTTTGGGTCTGGCATCATCTGTGGCCCTGGGGTGGAGTAACTGTTGTCATCTATGAGACTCTACCAACATCTACACACACTATTCCACAGATAACTGAATGTGAGAACCCATTTTTGTGGTTAGGCCGGAAGGGCCAGTTGGATTTGTATTTGTATATGGCTCTGTCTGCTGCACAGTGGCATCACTGCCAGGGCTATTTGACCTAGGGGTAGTGGTGGAATTTCCAGGACTGCTGATGTTGGGAGACTTCAACCTAGTTTCCCTTGGTGCAGTGGCTGGAGTTGCCCAGAAGTTAATGGCTGCCATAACAACCATGGTCCTATTCATGGAAGTCACACATAATTGAAAGTGGGAGGCACTGAGCTTTGTTCCTTGTCAAAGACAAGATTGCTCTCTGATTGCTATGAAGTTCCATGGGGTGACCCCCTTCTGTAGCAAGAAGGGACCTATTTGATTAGTTTACCCCAGGTGCCTAATGAATCTTGATGATTTTCAGAGGGTGCTTTGGGAATTTCCCAAGGATCTGGTTGATAGTTTAGTCAGACCCTGGTCATCTGTGAAAAAGGAGGGTGACTATGGCACTTGACTAAATTGCACCAGAGTGATGTCCCCCCTCTTGAATTCCAGTTCATTGGTTTTTGAGGAGGTTAGGGAGATAAATGGAGGAATGCTTAGAGTGCTATTGGAAGACATGCCTTGAATCTGACCTGTCACTGGTAAGAACTCATGTTTGAGCCTACACGTTGGCAGCCTGGGTAGCAAAAAGGAATTATTTTGTCATCCAGTGGCCCTTTTTAAGGTGACATGTTCCCTCCTAAGGAAGGAAGATCTCCAAAACACCTGAAGGCTGACTGTGAAGAATTACTGCAGCATTTGGCAGATAAATCCACTAAGATCCAAATCAAGTTGGACTCTAGGTGGACAGTGCCAATGGAGATAATTGAGCTTCGTCTTGTAAAGTCCTTTGTGATCAGTTTGAGTATATGAGTCCTGAGGAAGTGGCTGGTGCTCTTCATTGGATCCCTGCCTCTCCTGTCATGAGGTGACAGTAGGTTGGATCCAAGCAGTGGCTAATGCTTCTTTGGCTGAGGGGGTGTGTTCATGAAAAAGACTGAAACATCCTTGCTCAAGAAGGCTTCACTCAATCCAACTATGTTGGACAATTTCTAGACTCCCCTTTCTGGGGTAGGTAGTACAGAAAGTGGTAGTGCTACAATTTCAGAGCCTTAGAAGAGGCAGAAAGTCTGGACACATGGTAGCTGAGTTTTAGGCTGGGGGTCAGCACAGAAAATGCACTATATAATTTTTGGAGAGTCTGGGACCATGGAAGTGCAACCCTTCTAATCCTCTTTGCTGTCCCAGCAACTTTTGGTACCATTGACCATAATATTCCGGACCACCTCTGAGGGATTAGGAGGAATTGGGGTGGGGTACCATTCTTCAATGGTTTTCTTCTTTCCTAAGGTATTAATTACAATAACCTGCATGGAAGGGATGAAAAATCTCTACTTTGTAGAGTGTCCCGGACCTCTGTATACTCTCTACCTCTCTTTAATATCTATATTAAATCATTGGGAGAGGTCATCCATTAGCATGGAGTCAAGTATCAATCATATGTGAATGACATCCAGTTATATATCGTGGCCTTGTGCCAAACAGTTGATGCAGTAAAGGTGCTGACCAAGTGCCTGGAGGCTACCAAGGATTGGCCAAGAAGAAATTATCTCGGATTCAATCCCTTCAATCCCTTGCTAGAACCTTGTTCATCATAGTACTAATAAAATGCCATATTTGCTAATAACCTCTCTAACTTTTCTCTAGGTCCATGTCCTCTTAGGTCAATTGTTCTCATATTTATCATCAGTGGGCACATTTCATAATGAATAGTTTTCTTTGGAGCAACACTGAATACTTTAGTTCCCAGAACCGAATCATAGAAAAATTGGCTGGCTCTTTAATGGGCATATGTAGAGGAAAATACACAGCTCACCCTTGAACTCAAATTGACAGCCAGCATTAGGTTACTTTTAATGAAATTGTAAGTAAAGTTTGTTAAATTGCATTTCTTCCAAGAGTTCCAAGTGACATATGTAGTGCTCCCTCTTCCAATTTTTCCTTTCCTAAGAGAGAGAGATTGACTGGTCCCAGGTTATCCAGTGCACTTCTGTAGCTCATGTGAATTTGAACCTGGACCTTCCTGGTCTTAATCTGATATTCTTGCAGCCTGTAAAGTAACCATCCCCAGTTGAGGCCCTCCAGATGTGTTGAAACTGGTATCTATAATCCTAGTTGTCTTTGGAGGTTAGGGAAAGATGTCTGGGTCCTGTTCTGATCAGCAGAGATCCTGTATCCCACTGGTGCCCAAGCTGTTTGAACAAAAAGATCCCTTTTTTATGTTAAGACATTTGGCAGATCCCACATGACAGTAGTTCTATGTCTAGGGGCTGTTAATAGAAATGTAATACGACAAAAAGCTAATATGTATTCAGTAATCATGAGTAATGCTTTTAAAGGGCTTTGTATTTTATTAATCACAGCAACATATGCATACAACTTAAAAAATAGGATTACATCTATATCTATCTATACAGAAATGCTCCTGTTTGGGGAGAAAACCCTCTGACAACCTGCTAAAAGGTCCAAAAAGATGGTGACAAGATTTCCCCTTCTGTTCAATTTTCCCTAGCCACACCCTTAATTAAAAAAAAAAAAGTAAAATAATTGAAAACTAGAAAGATTTGTTTTATGACCTGTCCCTCTCCCCCAAGGTATTTATTTCCTTGTTTGGATGAGGAAACCGTTTCTATGCATGCTTGGAGAATCACTGGTTCTTTGTAATAGTTCCACTGTCACCCTCGCCCCCAAGATCTGCAGCCCACAGTTTGGGGACCACTGATGTCCTTTGTTTCTAACAGATGTGACTGGTTCCTAAATCTTGCTATGTGAGTTCTTCCTTTGGTGGGTTCTCCTGCATGAAAATGACTGCTCCTTGCTTAAAGAAGACTTTTGAGACAGGAAGCTTAAGTATCTAAGCTTTATCTTGCATTATCAAGACTATAACATATTTATTTTATTGTAACTTTTTTAGTGTTCAGAAAGAAAGTCCTGGAAAAACTCTTTCCTGCTCCTGTACCTCCTGATGTAGTTTCTTCAAGCACGGAGAGCACTGCTGTTCTGAAGGCTGCAATTTCAACTCAGGAAGAGCTGAAGAATGTGGCAACGGTGGAAGGAGATTCCAGTGTGCAAGGTAACGTGTGTGCATGTCTGTCTCTCTCTCTCTCCTTCTGTAGGAGCTGGTGAAACTCCTGCCTGAAAACTAGGACAAATATTCCTAATCAGATGTAGGTTCCACATATTAATCAAAGGAACAGTTTCTTTTAAATACTGTTAGTTGTTGGCTTCACATTTTATATTAAGATACAGGTAGTCCTTAAGTTACAACAATAATTGGTGCCAGAATTTCCATTGCTAAGCCATGCGGTCGTAAAGCATGACGTCACATGACTGCATCACTTAGCAACAGCAATCCTGGCAGTCCCATTGCCTTTGTGAACGAGATCCCACCGGTTATAAGGCAAGGACTCACCCCAATCCAAGCCATTGCCAGCTTGGTCTCTCCCAGCCCCAAGCCTCGGTAAGGTAAGGGACTGCCTCCTCTGCCTTCTCTTCAACTCCTCTCACCTGCCTATCTCCCCCCGCATCTCTGCCCTTTTGGCTACCCTGCACAGTGGCACTCCTCAGGGGCGGCAACTCTGGGGCTCAAGTAGAGACCCAGGGCCTTCAGCAGTCTCAGCTGGCTGCCACTCCCCCTGCCAGGCCTCTACTTCAGCCCCAGCTCTGCCACTGCTGAGGAGGCCTACCTCAAGGTCCATGCCGCAGCCAGCCACCCCAGCGCCACAGCACAAAGCCCCAGCCTCCTCCGCCACCCTGTGCTCTGCAGTCCCTGCTGTGCCCAGCTGACCTTCATCGTCTTCCTCCCACTGCTGACAAGGTACGCCCAGCCTGGCCCTATGAGAGGCAGCTGCTGGCAGAAGGAAGATGGCAAAGGTAGGCAGGTGGGGGAGTTGAAGTACCCTTGCGGTTGAAAGTGCGGGTGGGCTGCCAAGTGCTCAAATTTTGATCACGTGACCATGTTGCTGCAACAGCTGTAACTTCAGGGAGCTGGCGTAAGTACCATTTGTTCAGCACCGCCGTAACTTTGAACAGTCACTGAACAAATGGTTGTTAAGCGATGACTATCTGTAGTACCCAGCCAATTCCATTTTGCTTTGCTGTGATATTCAAATCCAATCAGTGTCAGCAGTGTTGGCTTGATGCAACAATACTTGGATCTGTGAAATATATAGGCCCCTCCAATCTGTTTTAACTCTGGGGATGCTGGCAGCAAAGTCCCGTGGACAGCTTCTCTACTGGGCTGCTGGCTGCCCAGCCTCAGCTGTTCTGCCAGCCAAACCAGAGTACATCTGCCCAGTCTCCTGCAACTTTGGCACTGTAGTGTTGAAACTGTGAGGGATTTTTTTACACACATGTCCAGTGCTCTTGATCTCAGGACACACGTCAAGCACTAAAACTGAGGGGAAGGAGGAGGCAGATGTACTACAGTTTGCTGATAGAAGAGAACTGGGCACCAAAAGACCCACTTTCCCTTCTTCTGTCACCCCTTCTTCTGGTACTGATGAGTTGGTAAGAGAAGTTTGGTTTTTTTTGCACAGTAGGAGAACCCTAAGCCTCCTGCTGTTAAAAGGCAAATGGCCCTGACAATAAGTAGCCAGGGACTGGGAGGCATGTCTGTAGAAGCCTTAGCTAGCCTCCAGCAGCAGGGCCAGCACCTGCCTCTAAACTTACTCCAGATTGAATTGCCACAGTTTGTGCTGGCAGAAACTGAAAAACCACTTTCAAAGTGGAGCAGACAGCAGTGCCTGTCTTCAACAAACAGCTAATGGCCCATCTTCATGCCATGACAAGCAGGGCGTCTGGATGATTCCTCAATCTTTGTAACGTGAAAAGGGTGTTGGATGAAGTCAAAATGATTTGTCTGGGGTTTAATTTCATCCTTGTTGCAAAGATACATGCAAGACCATGGGGTACAGTAAGGCTCTTGACTTCAGGTGCATCAGTGTAAGGACTGTGGTTGATAACTGTTGCCCTTTATGTTGGATTTCAGTATTGAATTACTGTATTACAAGTCATATTTTTAAAACATTAATAGTACTTCACCGAGAGAACAATAGCAATGAACAATTAGCATTTAAAAAAAATATATTAGCAAGTACAAAAATTAACTTCAGAAGGTAAAAGCATATTACCATAAATATTCAGCCAGCAATTGCAAAACAAAAGTCACCTTTGATAATTTGCCACTAAAACAGCAACGCATCTCTGAGTTGTTAACTATCATCTTTAAAATGCTGATGGGTGGACGCTCCGTAATTACCCTTTAGAATTCAGCTGAAAAGAATAGTAGATACAGATTGGTTAACATTATTTCACATTCAAAACGGCCATGCATTGAATTAAGATTTTTTCCTGGAACACAATCCCTTAAGAAATCCTTTCACTTGTGGAAAGCATGCATCCTATTGGTCTGAGATATTGTCTGGCATTTTCAAATTGGACACAATGCTTGATATTATAATCTGAGAAACATATAAGAGATATCATACAATCAAGCATTCTAATCAAGTTCACTCAAATTTATGTGAATGGTTAACTCATTGGTGTCCTATTCAGGTAGTCTTCATTTAGCGACTGCCTCATTTAGTGACCATTTGCAGTTACCATTCTCAGTTCTCAGTTACCATTCATAGTTACGACAGTGATGAAAAAGTAACTTTACAACCAGTCCTTGCATTTACAACCTTCACAGGTCTGTAAGGCAAAGGAAAACTGATATAAGAACATAAGCACAGTTGTGGTTTCACTTAGCGACCACTTTGCTTAATGACCAAGTTGCCAGTTCCAATTGTGGCTGCTAAATGAGGACTACCTGTATACTCTAGGAAGCATTTTCAAAAGGTATAAAACTGCACAATTCCTGACATGAACCCAAAGAATAAACAGAACTAGTAATGTTATTTTATGTTATATGGCCCTCCTAAATAATAAAAATGCATTTTTTAAAAAAGAGGGTATATTCACACTTTGGAATATCCTAATAAAATGGACTATTGTACATGCATGCATGTATGTATATATGTATCACTTGATATTAGGGGTCCATTTCTCTCTGGATATGAAGACAGTTGCACCACAGTCCCACGAAAAGATGCATTTAGTTTAAGGAGTTGCAGACAGGTGTACTTCTGCATGTTCCAAAACACCTTTTTGCCTCAGAACCTGAAGTGTTTCATTGCCCTGCTTGATATATTAATCTAATACAGCTTTCCTCAACTTCAGGATACGTTCAGCTATGCAGCCTTGGAATCTGGGGATTTCTAGTTCCAACAGGGAATTAATTTCAGTGGGAAGGTTTGATCAAAACTAGTTAAGTGAAATTAAGTCCATTGATTTAAATAGGTTGCAGTACGTTTAAATGGTTATTATTTTATGCCCCAGGCTGCTCTGTCTTTGTCAAGTACTTTGATAATTCTTTTTAACCATGAAAGCTAGTCTACTTTGAATCAAGCTTATTCCTGACATATCTTCATGGACATATCTAGGGAATTTTTTTGGCAACAAGTGGCTGGGTCGTCTTCAGGCTATATAAAATGAAGTCTTCCCTTGTCTCCTAAAGCTGTAAGGCTTATAGCAAAGTGTTTATTGAAAAAGCCCTAGCAGCATTCATTTAAGGAGATCGGAGAGCAAAGGAGTGAATAGTCTGTAGTCCTGCAATTTCATAATTATTACTTCAGGTATGGTTTTGAGAACAGTGTTGGGAGTCTGTAATAGTGCATGTTCAACATAGAAAAGGAGCATATTTACTATAAATTCTGAAGTGTGCCCCATGATGAATAGCTAGAAGAATCAGAATTTATTACTGAATAAAAATTCAGAATTATTGAGAAAGAGTAATATCTTCTTCTACATTCCTTATATTGGTAATATTTCTCTACAGTGGCAGATATATTGCTAGAAACAATAATCTGAGGTTGCCATAAACCCTTGTTTGTTTTTAACATGGTATTTTAAATGTAATGTGGGTTCTTTCTAAATTCCTTTACTTGTGTTGATTTATAAGAACAGATGTACTTCTTTGCCAGTTCAGGAAAGCTAGTAGCTTAAAGCTACCATTTGCACATACAGCACTAACAAAATTTTGCTTGTCTTGTATTAAAAATGTCTCTTATTTTGAGGACTGAGTACTGGAGATACACTGGCAAGCAAAGCAAATATTGTCTATACATATTCATGAGAGACTCTTTGGCAGTGTAATATTGGAATAAACAACTTCTGCAGACTGATTAAACAATTCATTTTTGCAGTTAATTACTGTGGCAAGAAGGAGCAACAGACTGTAATTATTACTTTGCACAGTAGACTATGACATTTTAAATGCCTTTCCAACAAGAATTTGTCTTCTGTTGGATGATTATGTTAACATGACATAACTATCAATATGACTGTTGATTATTCATAATCTTCTGAAGCCATAATTTTATGGTTTGGATCAATGAACTGCTGCTTTTAACTCTCAGTTTCTGTTGCATAGATCTTCCCAAGCATTGTCAGATGATAATCTAGGCAAAGTTCCTTGAATCAGTAAGGGATGGGGGAGTAGAGCTATTCGATTCTCATTTATATATAGGTTTAGTAATTTCTAAACTCTGTGCCATGAGAAATTAGCAGAGGCATATTTCCCTGGAAGTAAGCCTCAGTTCAGTAGAGTTTATTCTTATGTAAATGTTCAAAGGTTATAACCCATGCCTTCTGTTTTCCCAACATTTCTGGTGTCTGACCAATTCTTCTCTTTATAAATAACACTTTGGCTATTACAGCTCTAATAAGGAGTTATCTATAGCATATTTACCATCATATGAAGACAAAAATCTAGTTTCTAACAACAAATGGCAAATGGGAGGATGTGCGGAACAGTAATCTCATAGTTCACAGACAGCACAACTTGATACTAAACATCAAGAGCATGGTTGTCACATCAGCCCCTTAGCGGATCAGGTCTATAACCCCATATCTTTGGACTTCTGTTGCATGAGAGACCATAGCAAGCAGTGGTGACAAAAGAAGCTAATGAAAAAGGTGTAAAATAGTGAAAGACTAGAAAAACATAGTATCTATGTAGCCAATCAAAAA